ATATTGTCGAGCAGTAACCCGTTCAATTACTATGGTCAGTGCAAAATTAATTAAAATACAAGGTAAGTAAAATCAAACTAACGTTTATTTATGGTGATAAATCTACCCTAATGCGGCTTCACAATAGTTTCATTAATCAGTTAAGTTTAACGGAATTAAAAGCGCGATTAGAAAGGAATTGAACAAATATTTAAAGAATTTGATCAATATGATGCCGCTTTACTCGAACAAGCTTCTGAAATTGCTGAATTCGAAGCTAAATATTTTGAAGCGAAACTAATGTATCAATCCGCCATTGAATCCTCAACGGCCAGAAATGTTTTGAATTCAAATCCCACTGCAGTTGAGGCTAGCTTTAAACTTCCTCGTTTAAACATTCCGAGTGGTGTCAATGGTAAATATACTGATTGACTTAATTTTAAAAATTTGTACATGGCGACAGTTCATACCAATCAGTCAATAGCGAAAATTCAGAAATTCCAATATTTGATAGGACTTTTAACAGACGAACCAGCTGCTATTATTTAGCACATTCCGATTTCCGAAACTACATATGATGAGGCTTGGGACAAACTGAGGAACTGTTATGATAGAAAAAATCAAATTGTCAATGTCGCTTGTCAGAACATTTCTTTTGCAACCCAGAATTACTAGCGCTGATTCTGTTAATCTAAGAAAATTATCTGATACATCTGATGAAGTTGTCTGTGGATTAAAATCTCTTGGCGAAAAGGCTTCGTCTAGAAGATGTTTGGCTAATTTACTTTTTGTTAGAAAATGTCGGAAACAAAGCCGGAAGCTTGCCATTTATGGTCACAAAAGTTTGGTGACGAAGAATTTCCCAGCTTAAAATGTTTTTTGGAATTCTTAAACTCAAGATGTGTTTCATTCGAAATGTTAAACACTCATAATACTGAAAACGAAGCGAGTATCGCATAAAAATCAGTGCTCTGTTTCGAAGAATGTTTCATATAATAATAAACATTCTGTTCTAAAGTGATGTCAGCACTGCAATGGTTCTCATACCTTTATCAAAGTGTTATAAATTTAAAGGTGCAGATAGTTACGAACTAGGAAAAATATCATCCGGAAGAATTTATTATGCTTCAATTGTTTTAGGTAAAATTTATTATGCGGAAGCATTTATTATGCTTCAATTGTTTTGGGTAAAATTAAAATCAAGTAAAATGTTGTTTATCGCAGAATTTGTATTCTATTTGTAAAGCAAAACACCTTACTTTACTGCATGAAGATATTAGTAGTGGTGTCAAATTCATCTTCGTGTGATGAAAAAATTTGTAACTCAGGCGAACAAACTAATAATATTTCTAGTTTTTTCTATTCAGGGTCAGAGTACTACTTCATTTTTACCAACAACGGCAGTAATAATTGACAATTCTGGTGGTCAAGGTCACGAATGTATAATTTTTTCGACAGTGGAAGTGTTCTTTTATCAGTGAGTCATTTATTCGACTGTTAATTATACGCAGACAAAATGCCCGTATTTGCATAAAGGGACTTGGTGATTCTGAAGCAACTTTGACTCACGCTGATGTAAATGTAAAGTTGTTTCCGAAATCTGAGTTGGAAAAAAATGTTGTTTTAATACAAGCATATATTCTTAAAAAATTAACTTCTCATTTTCCTTCAGTAAAGATTGACAGCAAAGACCTTCATTATTTGAATTCAATTAATCTTGCAGATCCGAATTTCAGTACGCCGAAACAAATAGACATGATAATTGGAGCTGACTATTTCTTTTCTCTGCTTCAGCCAGGACAGATTGTTAGCCATAAAAATATAATTGCACAAAATACTATTTTTGGTTGGATTGTATCGGGCAGAATTAAAACAAAAGCCAATACTCCGCATCCCATTAGTGTTAATCGCATTAGTTTACATATTGAGAATAACGTCGATCCAACGCTTAAGCGTTTTGGGGAGTAGGAAGAATTAACGTTCCAAAATCAGAAGCCAACAGTTGAAGAAGAGATTTGTGAGAAGCATTTTAAGGAAAACTATCGAGTAAAAGGAAACGGCAGATTTGTTGTCCGACTGCCATTTTCAGTAAAGCTGACGAGTTAGGCGACTCCAGACCTTTGGCTATTTCCACCTCCCCCCGTTTTCTATCCATGAAAAGAAAATTTGATTTAGATAAAGAACTTGGTAGCCAATACAAGGAGTTCATGCAAGAATACGAAACTTTAAATCATATGGTTCTAGTTGTTCAGACTGAAGAAAATACCCATCATGCTGTTGTTAAATCGAGTAGCTCTACTACTAAATTTCGTGTAGTATTTGACGGATCATGTAAACCTAAAAATTCAATTTCTTTGAACTCTGTTTTAGGGGTAGGTGCAACACTACAACGAGATCTTATTTTCAATATTGCTCAACTTTCGTCTACATAAAATAGCTTTTTCTGCTGACATATAAAAATGTACCGCCAGATTTTAGTAGATAATGAAGATCAATATTTACAAAGAATTGTTTGGAGAGAATTTGTTAATTCAAAAATGCAGACATATAAATTATGTACAGTTACTTATGGCACTGCATCTGCACCATTTCTAGCAACACGCTGTTTGTCAAATTGCTTTGGATGCAGAACAGGATCATCCTCGTTTATCTTCAGTTCTTAAAAATGATTTCTATGTAGATGATTATTTATCTGGATCAAACTGTTTAGAGGAAGCAGTCGACCAACTTCTAAGCTCTCACAGATATTAGAGAAACGAGGATTCAATTTAAGCAAATGGAGATCAAACGGATCTAAGCTTCTCGAAACTTTATCCATTGATAATCATGAAGAAGGTGACCTGGAAGTTCACTCAGATGAATGTGTTAAAACTTTAGGGCTGTTCTGGAACTCTACAGAAGATATATTTTTATTTAACATTTCTATGAATTTCGGGACTGAAATTACTAAAAGAAGGTTCATTTCTCAATCTTCTAAAATCTTTCATCCTCTTGGCTTGCTAACGCCATGTACAGTTCGCCATGAACAGTCAAGTTGAAAATGTTTTATCAGCAATTAAAATCGCAATAACAACCTTGTATTTATCGTACATATACTAAAACACTCAATCGATTTCGAGGGCATTATGGTCCTCCTCATCAGGAGAACGAAATTACTAGAAAGGGGAAAGAAGAAAAAGCGTTGGCAAAGGTATCTCAGAAACACGTGGTCGTTATCAGCACACACGTGGTCGTAACCGGAACGTGTATGCTAATAACAACCACGTGGCACGACCATAATTTCGTTCTCCTGATGAGGAGGGACCTTTAGCTGCCCTCGAAATCGATTGAGTATTTTAATATATGTACGCTAAGTACAAGGTTGTTATTGCGATTTTAATTGTCACATTGGCGTATTTCTCTTCTGTTCTAGTTTTATAAGCAGTTGTGATCTTTAAAAATTGACTGGGATGCCCCACTGCCTAAAGAATGGGAAGAGAAGTTGCATCGACTTCAAGAAGATCTTAAGGTTTTCAGAAATGTTAAAATTTCGAGGTGGCTTCAAAATACGTGTAACCACATCCATCTGCATGGTTTCTCTTACGTCAGAATCTGCTTACTCTGCTGTCATCTATTGTGCTCAACCAACATCTCACGACAGAAATGAAGTCAATTTGATGGTTGCTAAAACCAAAGTTGCTCCCATTAAACAAGTGTCCATACCTAGTTATAATAGCGACTATAGTATAGTTAGCGAATTAATTAAACTGGAACTCCTAGGTGCATTTCTCCTTGTCAGATTTATCAAAGCTGTCCGTAAAGCCTTATCCAGTACTGAAATTTCCTTTCACGCTTGGACTGACTCTAAGGTTGTTCTCTGTTGGTTAGCAGCTCATCCTCGAAAATGAAAGCCTTTTGTGACAAACAGGAATTCAGAAATATTAGATGCTATTCCCTGTCAACAGTAGAGCTATATTACGTCGAAACAGAATCCTGCCGATCTTCCTTCTAGAGGAATCGATCCTAAACTTCTACCGAACGTATCTCTATGGTGGCATGCAAGTGTCTTAGCTGAACAAAGGACAAAATCAATTTTTAAAACAGCTCATTTGACTAATGACACTCTGGATAATTTATTTCAGAACTATTCTTCTTTATCTAAAATAGTTAATGTAATGTCCTTTTGCTTAAGATTTATTTCTAGGTGCAAAGAACAGGTGCTTGGTTCTGAAGATTATGAGTTAAAAATGCTGCAGTAGTACCTTCATCTAATGAAAGTCAAGAAGCTATGAAGTTGATCATTAAATGGATCCAGTTTGTCCAATTCCATAAAGATATAAAGGATCTAAAAATAATTCATCTTTAAGTCCTAAAAGTGCTTTAAGCTTACATTTTTCTTTTCTAGGTGACGATGGTGTTTTACAGGTGGGAGGTCGGCTGCAAAATTCTGACTTATCATTCAATGCTAAACATGCCATAATTATCCCAGGTCAACACAGGATTGCCTTGTTACTTGTTAAACAATATCATGTAACTTTTATGCATGCAAGGCCCAGTTTACTAGTTAACATTTTAAAGCAAAATTATTGGATTGTAAATGGTAAGAAACTTATACAGTCTTTTTTTTATCCATAAATGTATTGTTTGTCATAGATATAAATTGTCATATAATAATAAATTAATGGGAAACTTACCCAAACAAAGAGTAACATTTGAGACACCATTTTTAGCGCAGGTATTGACTGTAGCGGTCCTGTAATTTTGAAATGTTGCAAAGGTCGTTGCTTTAAGACCACTAAAGGTTATATAGCTTTGTTTTGTATGTCTAGCTACCAAAGCTTTCCATATTGAGGAAGTTACCGTCTTAACTGCAGATTCTTTGATTTCTGCTCTTGTAACAAGGCGTGGTACACCTCGATACTTATTTTCGGATAATGGTACGAACTTTGCTGGGGCAAAGAGAAAATTGTCCGAATTGCACACTCTGCTCCTTTCACTTAACAGCAATGAATTGATTTTAAATTATTTGGCTCAAAAATACTATGGAATGGAAAATGATTCCACCTGCTTCTCCCCACTTTGGTGGTATGTGGGAGTCAGGGATAGTGTCCATAAAATTTCATTTGAAAAGAATGATAGGAGAAACAAAGTTAACATTTGAGGAATTAACTACTTTGCTGACTCAAATTGAAGCTGAGTTAAATTCACGCTCCTTATCTAAAACTAATCACAATGATGTAGCTAATTTAGATGCTTTGATTCCATCACATTTTTTTTTAACTGGGGATGTTATTACTAGCATCCCAGAACAGGATTTTTCTAATATTTCCAAACCCACTTTATTAAAACGATTTGAATTATTACAGCAAATGAAACAAGGCTTTTGGAAGAGATATTATAAGGAGTATTTAAATTCCTTACAACAAAGATATAAATGGAAGAAACAACTTCCAAATTTGTCCGTAGGTGATATTGTATTAATTAAGAAAGATGGTAATGTTAGAGTTGTTACAGTAAAAGCTGTTAATGGTTATTTTTAAAGATCTGTAGTAAAACTTTTACCATTGTTATTGCATCGGGAATAATCTATTGTTTATGCAATGGCAAGAGTGGGAGTTAAATGTTGGATGTATATTTAATATTTGCATTTCTTTTTTTCTTTTGCCTTATTTATTTTATCAGTTTAATTTTATGTTATGATTTTTACAATAATATTTTTACTGGATGCATGCTTTATTTTACTATTGAGTTTGCGTGAATGGCAACAGTTGTTCGTGTTTACATTTCAGTAGAATAGCATTCTTAGCTGTACTGTGCTGCAGACAATTTTTCTCTTATATATTTCATGTTTAGAATATTAATAACGTTTTTGTACAAAGCTGATGCTTTCTAGTTCAAAGGCAACTACTTACAAGTATTTGTAAGCATTTGATTTAATTGTGTTAAATAGTAGTCAATTTTAGTGCTCTGAACGACTGCAAGTGGAAAGAATGTAGAGAATGTTTTACAGGAGGCAAAAAATAAGTTATAAGGAATTTTTCTCCTTCCCTTGCCGCATGCCTTTATCGTGTTGTTGTTCAGTTAGTAATCGGAAGGAAGATTTTCTGACCTGATGGGACCCGTTCAAGTTTAAATTAACATGAATATCAATGTTTATTTATTAGGTCCGTCTTTTACTTATGAAAAATTGTAGTTTTCCGGTTCTAATAAACTGCAGCTATGGTTTCTAAATGTCAAAAAATGTTTCCAAACGATTTCAATTGATTTACGCATAACGTTAGTGCTAATCGATTCTTATAATTTATAATAAAATACAATGCATTTTTAATTTTTTGCAATAAAATGAAAATCCTCATTATTTTTAATAAAATTCAGAAATATAGTTTTTGTTTAGTGGATTCATTTTAACAACGTTTCTTAAATAATTTCATGTTAGACGAATACTGTTTAGAATGGTATGCGAAGGAAATCGAGATTTTTTCCACAGACCTATTACTATATATGGGTTATATACATTATTAGGCTTAAATATGTAATTAATAATGATTATTATAGATAAAGCCTTTTTCTGAGCGGATATTTCTATTATTATTTTGTTTCGACTATGGCAACGAAGGCAATGAAGCCAAAAATTAAACTTTCATGCAAAATAATCAATAAATTCAACTGATATACTTTTAAAAGTTTCCTGTATAAAAAAATCATGTTTTTTATAAGACATTTCATTATATTATAATGATAAATTAAGTTTACCTATCATTCTGTAAAATACTCCAGTTCGAAGCTTTTTCTTTAAAAACTTAATAACTCAGAATGAAAGAAAATGAAACATAAGGTATAATTCAAAGTAATAGATAACTCAAAGTGATTTTGCCTCTGAAAGTTTCTTTCTATTCTTTTCTGTACTTTGGGGGCTTTTAAAATAATAAGAGTTCCGACCAAATAGCAAACAAAGTCGGAAATATTGTTTTATAATTATTTTCAGTTTTCGAAGAATGTGAAAAAAAAGTATACTTATAAAACTAAAAGGAATTTGAAAGATGCGAAATATTTTCATAAATGGAAATTTTGTTATTTTCTCCAATCAAGCTTCTTCTGATTGAAGCGCCAAATTTTACTCACTGAAAACAAGATACATTTTATTTCTTCAGAATTAGTAAGTCCAGTTTAGTAGGACAGGAAAAAAATTAAATGCAGATTGATGCAATCTGGAACACAGTAGTTTCTATAAAAGATACTGGTATCTGCTGCGATATATGTGATTGAAAACAAACCTTCTGCATCTAAAGAAATATGTGAGAGATCAAATAAAGTAAATGTACGTTTCTTTCAGTCCAAAGATATCTATATATTATGAAAACTGTGCACTAAAATTACGTTTATTTCAATAAATATTTCAGAGTTTTTTGTACCTTAGGTTTTCGATTAGCTGAATGTTAACTTTAAAATCATGTGACAGTATTTATGAATAGGATTATTATGATTTTAATTTTAATCTTAACGTTTATGTTTAAGTTTACTACCGAAATGATAATTAAACATTTTTTAAATTAATTTCTTAATTTAACTTTCCCAGGTATAAGTATAGGAAAGGGAGACCACATTAAAAGTTAGATTTCTCTATTTGTCGAAACGTAATATGTTTAAAATTGTCAAAACATGAATACTTTGGTCATTTAAAGTCATAATGGGAAGTATATGACTGTGACCAGCGATTGCCAAAATAAAGGCCGTGTAAGGACTTTTATACCTGGTAAGGAGGTTCAGTATATATATCCTTTTGATACTGTAGATTGTAATAAAAAAGGAAAAGGCACAGTTAGATGTTATTAGCAGTCCCATACACAAAATTTCAACGGTCCATGGACAATCGTTTTTGAGTTATGCGAGATACAAATGTACGTACGCTCAGAAGTCACAAAGAAATCAATTTCAAAGACATTTTAAATTGAAGATTTACAATCAATTTTGGAAAAAAAGAATCCTTTAATCTGTCCGCAACGTACATAAATCACATAAACAAATAGTGTAAATGGATCTGGAAAAGGTTAAAATGGATACTTCCGTTGAAATATGATACCAGAAATTTTTTGCCACTAAGATATTTCATATACTTTATACAAGGAAATAAAATTAGTTTTCAAACTCTTGCAATAGATTCAAGGATAACTTCAGTGCTAACTAATGACTATTAAATTTCATTTTGGAAAATTATTGAAATATTTCAACTAAAGAAATCTTTTGAATTTCATCTTATTTATTGGAACGTTAATATTCTATACCTTTGGCAAAAGATTTAATGATTCGAGCAGCTCTAGAATGCTCTTTACAATTTATACACCGTGTCCGCTTAAGTACGTGTTCGAGTAAAGTCCTTAAACGACTTTTATATTTATTAACACTGGGAGTAGAAGTGTATTTCCAGTTATAAATGAGTGTCAGATGACACAAGTATTAATGCTTTGACATTTTTAAACTTAAAAATCAATTTTCTAGATAATAAATAATCTAAATCTTTTTAAATTTAGCTTTAAAATAAATTTTGATTTAATACGGTTTCACATTTCTATAGTTATGTTTAGGTGATATTTTTCAGATTATAAAAATAAAATACGAAACTATTGCCTCCCCTCCGACAAATTTGAAGAAGATATTTGATTTTTATAAATTCAAATCATATTCAATGGTCATCGCGAATTGAACAGAGAAATGTTTGCAATTATACGTAACTAAAAATTATATCTAAATATATGAAGATTTCTGATGTTAATAGATTAAATGAATAACATTATTATCCTGTTTGCTGTGAAAATTATTCCTGGATATATGTTTCTTCAAAAATGTGATTTTATTCAGAGAATGCGATCCTTAAAATGAATTGGCAAGCTTCAATAGTCATACATATCCAACACTCAATATAATATCCATATATAAAAAATAAAAGATATTTCTAGTTAAATGAATTTTATTATATGTTTGTTAGAATGTTATTCTAAAATAATAACTAATATTCGAAGGTAAAATTGCATGTGAATATTAACAAGTTATTTCTAGCTTTTAAAAATGTAGGAAATATTTGAATGAATTTGTTTTGGAATGAAATACGTAACAAAGTTTTAAATTAAAAGTTATTTAAATTTGATATAAATAATATGCACGTTTACGAAACTTAAAACGGTCAACGAATGGATTTTATTATACAATCATAATATAACAATCATCCAAAAACTGTAGTTAAATTAGAAAATTTTTTCTTGTTTAGTGTACTTAATTAATATTATGACTTGCCGATATGCAAATAATTAAACTTGTCACTGTTTTCTAAAATACGATCTCGATAAGAAACTGTGAATGAGACCACCTTTTAGGATATATATATATATATATTATATATATATATATATACTATAACATTTTCTCTTCTGCTTTTCTTATTATGTATAAACATTTACTAAAGCTCCGAAATGTATAAAAATTATATTTCGTAATTTATAAAATGATTGTTTAAATTTTAAAATGCCAATAGATGAATTTTTATATAATTTTAAACATTTTGGTAATTAAAAGCATACATCTACGGCTAGAGTGTGGAAAAAACAAAAAACAAGGCCTAAATTCTCTTTTTGTATACACGGCGTATATACTACGCTCGCGTAAGTGCGATTCCATTTATTAAACGAGTGTTGTTTGTGAAGCAAAGATTATTTATTCTGCATGTTTCTCATGCTTGTAGTTGCTGTTTCACCTTTCACAATGATTTCCAAAATGTAACATTTCAGACACTTCAGGAATGTGATCTTAATTATAATAAGCTCTTTACTATATTGTTGGTGAGCAATCATTCGTTATAACCAGAGGTCAGTTGCAGCAAACATAAATAAATATATTTGTCTTGTTTATTAGGTCATTAATCATGAGAAAGTACTCGAGGTATAACTGCTATAGAAGAGAAGCATTCGTGGAAAACAATTTAGGGAAATGTGCCTATACTTACAGAAAAAAAAATTCAGTCTGTAAAAAATAAGAAACGAAATTCGGTTCCAAAACGTGCCATTCCGTAAATATCACGTAAACTTCCGTAATACTTAAAAGGCATAATCGTTTAAAAGCATTTGATGAAAATAAGTCAATGCATGCTCTAGCAAAACTGAATAAATTCAATATGCCTCGAATTTCTCAAGAACATCGGTTCCATTCATGATAACCTGACTTATGCATCGATCCAAATTTCAATTCTGTACCTAAGTTAATATTAAAAGAAAGAAGCTATAAAACAAATACAAAACTTCCATTTGTGTTCTAAACACAATTAAATCTCTTCGGTGGACCGCCTAATATAAGATTATAAAGCTGTACATTTGAAACGTTAAACTACTAACTGAGAGAATGAGAATTCTAAACTCTGGTTGTTCGCTCAGTTCACTTTCTGACTATTGAATGGTTGTATGTGTTTTTACAGGTTCTCAACCTGTAAGGAAAATACCATCCAAGTTTGCCTTAGAAATCTTCCAGGAAAGCTTTTATTCTCAGAATAAATCCT